ATTTCAATACATATCACCAAAAAAAAAAAAACAAAAACAAACAAAAAGATCCCCCTCCCTAAAAAATATACACACTCAAAAAGCAATGTGTGAAATAGTCTAATGGATTTTAACGTAACTGATCATGAAAATTTCAATAACGTGATTTCAGATTCTAGGTGTAACTAACCTTCAAGAAACTACAGTTTGTTGAGTATTTGTTATTATTAAAGAATAATAGCCACACTTTTTTGGTCCCTTTTTCCATTGCAAAAATTTACTTAATTGATTAATTAAAATGGTTGGAATAGAGATCTTTATGTTGAAGGGTAAATGAGAGAAGACAGAGAGGACTCACAAACTTCAAAGTACAATACTACCCTTCAGTTAATTCCAAGATTAGGAAAAAGGATTTACTTTGTGTTTTCAAAATGAGTAAATCCACTTTCAACCTTTCTTGTATCTGTTCTCCTTTCATTTTCTTGGAAATCTTGCCTTTTCATTCTCTTTCTTCTCTAAAAGAAAAATCAGAGAAAAAGATTGCAAAGAAAACTGTAAAGCCTACATGAGAGCCAAAAGCAATAGAGAGATCCAAGATGGCTGAATGGAGGATAGCTACGTTAAATTCAGCTATCTTGGGATCCGAAAAGAACAAAGGAAGGACCATGTTTCCAGGGGTCTGACTGATGAAAATTTTCAGCAGAGAAGTGAAAAAACAATGAAGACTCTGTGAAACAAGAGGGGAGAAGACAGATACACTACTGTAGCCAACTGCGCAGTGCAGCCAGTTGCTGGCTGTGAGCTGCCATCTTACCAACTCGAGGTAGGAAGAAATTGTCACATGCTTCGCCACACACAGACTCATTTGAGAGAGAATGCCACAGTTACTCAGTGACTTTTGCTTCAGCCCGAGGAGCTGCCTGGGGTCTGAGCGACTGCCAGGCTTGGAGCAAGGAAGTGGCATTGCTTCCTTCCACTCCCTCACTGCAGTAGAGTGCCAGGTTCTGCAGTGAAAAGTCACACAGCGGCCTCTGTTCTGCTCCTACCAGAATCAGTCAGAGTCAGAGTCAGGGCAACTTGTGGGGCAAAGGCACAGATTCCCTGTCTCCCGCAATGGTGGGAGTTTGGGACCATTAGTCCCAGAATCACACTCACATCCTCTGTGTGAGCCTGGAGGATTTCTCCTTAGCACCAGCAGCAGCCCATAAAAATCCACCTCCACCCTGAAAGATCTGGATAATGACTACTGTACCCTGTAACAATCAGTTCTAAATTTTTTAACCCCACTGGAACCTACCCAGTGGACCTATGGAAGGACCCATCTACATGCTACCACTCTGGACTCATACAATCAGAACAAAATCTTCTGCTTGTACCTTGTAGTCACCCTGTAAGATCGGAGCAGGGTTCAGGTCACATCCCCTAGCCCCAGCATATAAGACACAGCAACAGCTGGATTCTCCTAGCAGGACCTGAGGAAGGGCCCATCCTCATAACAATCCTAGAGCCACAGCAATTGGTGCCACAAGCCCCAGTATTTCTCAGACTTTTCAGTGGGATAAGGTAACAGCCACCTTTGTCTACCTCAGCACCAAGAACAAGGCTCTATCACAATCCCCAGGGAGACTGACATAAAACTTTCTATGAACCAAATATATACACCCTAGGAAACCCATGTTCATCTGAAAGTCACACTTCTAACCCTACAAACTGCAGTTTACTAGGCCACTATGTCACTTATAAACACAGTTGACATTGATTGAGACAAAAGAAATCACTCAGAGACTATACTCCTGGGCTCACCTAGAACCAAAGCCAAAGCAACCAGCCAAGTGATACCCTGAATTCCAGCTAAACCATAAACTCTCTTCCAATAGAACCTACTCCATAAAGAAGAAGGGATGATTACACCAGATGCACAGACATCAGTGTAGGGGCACAGGAAACATGCAGAAGCAAGGTAGCATGATATCCTCAAAAGAATAAAATACTCCTCCAGAATTAGATCTGAACTGAAGGAAATCAACAAAATGACAGATAGAGAATTCAAAATAATGATTGTAAGGAAATTCAATGATATGCAAGAGAATGCAAATAGATTAAAGAAACAATGAAATCAATAATGAAAATATTTCTAAGGAAATATAAATCATTAAGAAGAATGAAATAGAAATTTTGGAAGTGAAATTTTCAATCAGTGAAATAAAAAACACAATTGAAGGCTTTAACAGCAGAATAGACCAAGTGGAGGAAAGAATTTGTGACCTCAAGGACATACTTTTGAATAATCCAATCAGAAAAAAATGAGTAAATAATGAAGAAAGTCTGTAAGAAATAAGAGAAAAGTACAAACTCACAGTAAGAAAAAAATTACACATAAAGGAAAACCAATTAGATTAATATCAGACTTCTCAGCAGAAACCCTGCAGGCCAGAAGAGAATGGGATGTTACATTCAAGGTCTTCAAAGAAAAAAATTTCTAACCAAGAATAGTATATCCAGTGATGCTATCTTTTAGAAATGAAGGAGAAATAAGATATTTTCCTGATAAAACTTAGAGAATTCACCACCAACAGATCATCCTTGCAAGAAACCTTGAAGGGGGTCCTGAAGGGGTCATGGGGTTGGCGCTGTGCTGCAGTGGGTTAAAGCCCTGGCCTGAAGCACCAGCATGCCATATGGGTGGTGGTTCTAGTCCCGGCTGCTCCTCTTCTGATCCAACTCTCTGCTATGGCCTGGGAAAGCCGTAGAAGATGGCCCAAGTCCTTGGGCCTCTGCATCCGCGTGGGAGACCTGGAAGAAACACCTGGCTCTTGGTTTCTGATCGGTGCAGCTCCGGCCGTTGTGGCCATCTGGGGAGTGAACCAGTGGATGGAAGACTCTCTCTGTTTCTACCTCTCTCTGTAACTCTTTCAAATAAATAAAATAAATCTTAAAAAAAAAGAAGTAAACATCATGAAAACACAAGAATCTACCAAAAGAGCAGTTATAATTGTACCTGAACAACAAAATGACAGGTGTTGGTTCTTATCTCTCGATACTAACCTTGAGTGTAAATTCAATGGAATAAATTCTCTAGCCAAAATCTTGGGTTAGTTGAATGGATAAAAAACCATGACCCCACTATATTCTGCCTGTAAGAAGCTCGATTCACAAACAAAGATAAAACACAAACTGAAAGCGAAGGGCTGGAAAAATACACACTAGGCAAATGGAAACCAGAAATGAGAAAGAGTAATTATCCTGATAGCAAATAAAATAGACTTTAAATCAAATGTTGCAAAAAGAGATAAAGAAGGGCACTATATTTTGATAAAATTTTAGATATAGTAAGAAGGCATAACAATCATAAATATATACACACAACACAAGACCATCCAGATACATACAGCAAATATTATTAGACCTAAAGGGAGAGATAGACTCCAATACAATAATAATGGGTGACTTCAACGCCCCACTCTCATCAATGGGCAGGTCATTTAGACAGAAAATCAATAAAGATACTTTGGAGTTGAAACATACTATTAAGCAAATGGACCTAACAAATATTTACAGGATATTTTACCCAACAGTTATAGAATACACATTCTTCTCATCAGCACATGGAACATTTTCTAGGATAGACCATACATTAGGACATAAATCAAGTCTCAGTAAATATAAAATATTGAAATTATATAATGTATCTCTTCAGGACTAAAACTAGAAACTAGCAACAAGAATAACAGAACACACATAAATACTTGGAAATTAAACAACATGCTATTGAAGGATCAAAGGGGCATTGAAGAAATTAAAAATAAAATTAAAAAGTTTATTGAAATAAATAAAAATGAAAAATCAAAACCTGTGGGATATAGCAAAAGCAATATCAGGAGAGAAGTACATAGCATTAAGTGTTTATATTTAAAAAAGAGAGAGAAATATCTCAAAGACCTAGTGATGCATCTCAAAGACTTAGAAAAACAAGAACAAACTAAACCCCAAATCAGCAGGAGGTGAGAAATAACAAAAATCAGAGCAGAAATAAATGTAATTGAACTAAAAAAATCCAATACAAAAGATAAACAAAACAAAAAGTTGTTTTTTTTGAGTAGAAAAACAAAATAGATAAAACTCTAGCCAGACTAACCAAAAAAGAGAAAAACTCAAATAAATGAAATTAGAGATGAAAAAAGAGACATTACAATCAACACCACTGAAATACAAAGGATCATAAGAAACTACTATGAAGAACTATATTCTAATAAGCTAGAAAATCTTGAAGAAATGGATAAATTCCTGGATACATATAACCTACCAATATTAAAGCAAGAAGATGTAGACAATCTAAATAGACCCATAATAAGCAATGAAACTGAAGCAGTAATCAGAAGTCTTCCATCAAGGAAAAGTCCAGGGCATGATGGGTTTACTACTGAATTCTATGAAACATTCAAAGAGGAAGTAACTCTAATACTTTTTAAACTATTCCAAAATATTGAGTAGCATGAAACTCCACAAAACTCTTTTTATGAGGCCAGCATCACTTTGAAACCAAAGCCAAAGGCATGACATGAAAAAAAAAAAAAACTACAAACTTATAGCCTTAAAGAACATACATGAAAACATTCTCAACAAAATGCCAGCAAACTGAATCCAAAATCATATAAAAAATATCATACATTACGATTGAGTGGGATTTAACCCAGGAATGCAAGGGTGGTTCAACATTCACAAATCAATAAACGTCATAAATCACATCAACAGAATGAAGAACTAAAACTATATGTTCATTTCAGTGGTTGCAGAGAAAGTATTTGATAAGACTCAACGTCTATTCATGATAAAAAAATTCTCCACAAATTAGGTATAGGAGGAACATACCTCAAAAGGCTTAACATGACAAACCAGCAACCAATATCATACTAATTGGAGAAAAGCTGAAAGCATTTCCACTCAGATCTGGAACAAGACAAGGGTGTCAACTTTCATCACTCTTATTTAATATAGTGCTGAAAGTTTTAGTAAGAGCAATTGGGGAGGTGAAAGAAATAAATGGCATCAGAATTGGAAAAAAGGAAGTCAAATTATCCATGTTTGCAATAGACATGATGTTGTACATGGAAAAACCTAAACACTCCACCAAAACACTGTCAGAACTGATAAACCAACTCAATAAAGTTGTAGGTTACAAAATAAACATACAAAAGCCAGCAGCTTTGTTGTTTTCGTTCATAATTGAGATTTTATTGGTGTTGAGAATCAGTACATAGACATTTCAATTTGTACACATTCTTAATGTACATACCAAAAATCTAAAAAGCTGTGAATTGTCATTCCAATGACTTTCCAGCTTCACATTGGGAGACAACTCTTCCTTAAGAAGCCATCAAGTACTAGTATCTTCAAAACATTGCTATTACATATTCAAATTTTCAATCTTTCATAGCACATTAAGAAAATCTTAGTCTAGGGAAACTAGACTACCACAACCACTGATATTACAGAGTGCACACAGTTCTGACAGAGCAACAAGGAGTGGTTTTCTGAAAGAAGCAATTCTACTAAACAACATGGGAGAAGTAACTGAAAATATTCAAGACAGATGGAATGTACAATTATGACTCCAAATTGCCATTAGTACGTGTTTCATTGTAGCATATGAAAACCACCTCCTACCTATGGAATGTTAAGCTAACGCACAAGACAGACAAAATCTCCCATGATTGAATATCTGGTTGTAAATAAACAAAGGGAAAATGATTTCACCTCTTAAAAAAGTCATTTACACTTAAAAAGTGGGATGAGGTGGGCTTCCCTCCTTCTTAGAAATCTATCTAGCACTATGAAAAAACTTGCATTTACAAAATAGTTGATAAAATATTTCTCTGGATTGTCTAAGAAAGCAGACAGGGACAACAGATAAGACCTGGTATATGATTTTAATTAGACTTGACTTCTTTCTCTTCTGCTTCATCAGAGACTGGATGCTCATTTAGTTTCTACATTTTCTGTAGACAAATCTTTAATTTCTTGGTTAGCCAGCTCAGCCTGTTTTCCCTTTGTTCCTCCCTTCCGTTTTGCTTGTACGCTTTTGTCTAGCAACTTATCATTCCCAGCTGCCTTTCTGGGCTTCATTTCCACTTTTGCAGGAACAGGTTTAGTTGACAACCTCACCAGTCTTCTCTTGGACTCTTCATTCACCACCCCTTTGGCAGAGCCGACATTCCTGTTGGGCATCTTGGTGATAGGGAGGGCATGTGCTAAACTTAGCCTATGGGCCCCAGTGGCTTTTTTATGTGTCAATAATGAACTTACTGAAAGAGAAATCAAGAAAGAAATCCCATTCACAATAACCACAAAAAATAAAATATTTAGGAATGAATTTAACCAAAGAAGTGAAAGATCTCTACAATGAAAATTATCAAACATGGCTGAAAGAAAGCATCAAGGATACAAAAATATGAAAAGATATTCTTTGCTCATGGATTAGAAGAATCATTATCATTAAAATACCCATACTACCTAAAGTAATATAAACATTTAATGCAACCCCTTTTAATCCCTCTACAAAATTAGTAAAAACAATCCTGAAATTCATATACAAGTACAAAAGACCCAGAATAGCCAAGGTGATCCTGAGCAAGAAAAATCAAGCTGGCATCATCACAATACCTGACTTGAAAGCATACTACAAAGCTATACTAACTAAAACAGAATGATACTGGCATTAAAAACTGCTACATAGATCAATGGAACATGATAGGGAGCCCAGAAATTAATCCATGTTCATACGGCCAACTGATTTTTGATAACAGTACTCACACCATGCAGTGGAGTAAGAATAATTTCTTCAACAAGTGGTGCTGGTAAAACTGGATGTACATATGCAAAAGAAAGAAGTTAGATTCATAACTCTCACCCTAGACAAAAAAATCAACTCAAATTGGATCAAAACTGAGTTTAAAACCTGAGACTATGAAGCTGCTGGAAGAAATTGTGGGGGAAACACTCCAAGACATTGGTGTAGGTGCAACTTCTTGGACAAAACCCTAAAATCATAGGTAACAAAAGCAAAAACTAAACAAATTGGATTATATTAAACTCAGAAGCTTCTGCGTAGCATAGGAAACCATCAATAGAGTGAAGAGACATTCAATAGAATGGGAAAAAATATTTGCAAGCTACCTATGTGAAAAAGGATTAATATCCTGAATATATCAACAACTTAACAAGAAAAAATCCAATTAAGAAATGGACAAAGGACCTCAATATTCAGTTTTCAAAAGTAGAAACGCAAATGGTCAACAAATATAAGAAAAAAATGCTCAGCATCACTAGCCATCAGGGAAATGATAATCAAAACCACAAGATATCTTACTCCTGTCAGAATGGCTAAAATACAAAAGAGAGAACCTCACAAGTGTTGACGAGGATAGAGAGAAAGTGGAACTCTTATACAGTGTTGGTGGGAAGGTAAATTAGTGTAGCCACTGTGCAAAACAGTATGGAGTGTTCTCAAAAAACTAGAGGCTGGTGCCATGGCTCACTAGGCTAATGCTCTGCCTGGGGCGCCAGATTCTGTCTCGGTTGCCCCTGTTCCAGTCCAGCTCTCTGCTGTGGCCCGGGAGTGCAGTGGAGGATGGCCCAGGTGCTTGGGCCCTGCACCCGCATGGGAGACCAGGAGGAAGCACCTGGCTCCTGGCTTCGGATCAGCGCAGCACGCCGGCCGCAACGCGCCAGCCATAGCGGCCACTTTCTAACTCTGCCTGTCAAAAAAAAAAAACAAAAACAAAAACAAAAAAACAAAACAAAACAAAAAAAAACCTAGAAATACACTTGCCATATGATCCAGCAATCCCATTGCTGGACAGAAACCCAAAAGACATGAATATACTGTATCAAAGAGATTCCTGCACCACCATGTTTATAGACACTGCTCACAAGAGACATGATTTAGAATCAACCAAGGCATCCTGTGGTTTATATACACAATGGAATGTTATTCAACTATAAAAAAAAAAGTGAAATTCTACCACTTGCATCAAAATGGATGCAACTAGAGGACATCATTGAAATAACTGAGTTATGTGAAATAAGCCAGAAACAATAAGACAAATACTTCATGTTCTCCCTTTTATGTGGGAGTCAAAATTTAAAAACAGGGGTGGGGGATCACAAAATAGAAACAAAAAAAAAGAAAAATGCCTTTGTGTATCAGAATTGCTGCAAATATAAATTTGTAAAACTTTGTTTAATACTTTTGTCAAACCAATAGTTAAGAATGTTATATTTGGCGGGCGCCACGGCTCACTTGGCTAATCCTCCGCCTGTGGCGCCGGCACCCCGGTTTCTAGTCCTGGTTGCTCCTCTTTGGGTCTGGCTCTCTGCTGTGGCCCAGGAGGGCAGTGGAGGATGGCCCAAGTGCTTGGGCCCTGCACCCGCATGGGAGACCAGGAGGAAGCACCTAGCTCCTGGCTTCGGATAAGCGTGGTGCACCGGCCGCAGTGGCCATCTGGGGGGTGAACCAACGGAAGGAAGACCTTTCTCTCTGTCTCCCTCTCTCTCACTGTGTAACTCTGCCTGTCAAAAAAAAAAGTTTTTTTTAAAAAAGAATGTTATACTACTATGGTTTTAAATATTTGTGCTTACATTAAAATTTACTGTATATGGATAAATGGTTATTTTTCCATTCAATTATTGTTTATAGCCATTGTTGATATTCCAACTAAGTAGAGTCTTTTTGCTTTTTACTTGTTAAACTTCTTATTTGGTGAAGCATTAAGCCTTTTTACTGTAATACAAATTTAAAATATGTTATCTCAAAAATTAAAAGAGAGAGGGCGGGAGGGAAAGGGGGCAGGGTGGAAGTTAGGGAGGAAGGTACTATCATTATATTCTTAGGATTATATCTACAAAATATACTAAATCTGTTAAAAACTAATTAAAAACTAAAAATAAAAATCTTAAAAAATTCACACAAAAATTTTTATTAATTTGTCTAAGATGAAATCATGTAAGTAGTAAAATAAAGTATAATTAACATCAGAGATTATATTTGAGTGCATGCAGCTCACACAATAACTAAACAGCATGATGTACTTTATACACTACTGAATATATTCTGTGTTTAAATAAATAAATAAATAAATGTAAAAAAAAGGAGTAGATTCTTCATTGGGTCTTCCCCAAAAAACTTAGTTATAAATTTTTATAGCTATATGTTAGAGCACAGTTTATAACTGAATGAAATTCAATGGATTTTCAATTCTGTTGAAAGAATCACCTGGTTGCACAATAGTGAAATATTGTAACTAAAGAGTCTGAGACCTCTGGGGCAGAGTCTGGGTTACCAGTCATGTCTCAACTTTACTGTAATTATCAACCAAATGGTTTGAGGAGGGCATATTGGTCAACAAAAGAACGAGTCGATCACAATTTCATGATCTCAAAGTTTGTTTTGACTTCACAGAGGCAAAGACATTGTTCAAGATAGCTTTACTAATTATTCAATAAGAGGAAAGAAGGCCTTGCTAATAAAGTTGCTCATCTTCCTTAATAATATGGACATTTAAATAGACAACTTTTTTCTTTTAATTCCATCTTCTTTTATTTTCTTCCATTTTCTTCTTATTCCATCTTTCATGAACCTTTTTATTAAATTATTTACTTATTTATCTTCATTGCATTATAAAGGCAGAGAGAGAAAAACAGGAAGAGATGATGGGAGGGAGAGAAATCTTAGCATCCACTGGTGCACTCCCCAGATGCCAGCAATGTCCAGGGCTGGCCCAAGCCAGGAGCCAGGAGCTCCATTTGGGTTCCCACAAGGGCGGCAGGGACCCAATCATTTTTGCCATCATTTGCTGCTTCACAGGGTTTGCATTGGGAGGAAGCCAGATCAGAAGCTGAAGAGTCAGGATATGAAGCAGGCACTTTGATCTAGGATAAACGGTCCCAAGGGGCAACTTGACCACGATGTTGAATGCCCACTCATAACAGACACCTTTTCTATAAAACCCATTACAGCACAATTGAAGATGCTTCACACACACACACTTTGATGTGCTTATTCTTTTTTTAAGATTTATTTATTTGAAAGGCAGAGTTACAGAGAGAAGAAGCAGAGAGATAGAGAGAGAGAGAGAGAGAGAGAGAGAGAGATCTTACATCCACTGATTCATTCCTCAAATGGCCACAATGGCTGGAGCCGGGTGGATCTGAAGCCAGGAGTCAGGAGCTTCTTTCAGGTCTCCAACGTGGGTGAAGGCACCCAGGGACATGGGCCATCTTCTACTGCTTTCCCAGGCCATAGCAGAGAACTGGAATGGAAATGGAACAGCCAGGACTTGAACTGCTGCCCATGTGGGATGCTGGCACTGCTATGCCACAGCACTGCCCCTGCTTATTCTTTTATATGTCCATTTCTCTCCACTAGATCTCAAACAGAATGGAAGCAGGGACTGTATCATATCAATCTTTAGATCCTCAATGACTAGTACATTGAGTAAGCCTTATTAAATGCATTTAAGGAATTAATTTTAATTATTTATCCAAACATGTCTATTTATCTCCACTTGTAACAATGGAAAAGAATCTGCCAATGCAAACAGCAAATAGCAGCAGTTGAGTATCAGATGTGAAATGCTATACACGTGTTGAATGATCACATGAACACTTTTCCTGGGGCTTGAAGCATTGATGGGTGGGATTGCAATGCCACTGGAATTATTTTAGGCCAACAGGGAGACTGATGTGACTAGTCACGTGCATTAAAACAGCCACAGGAACAGTGAATGAATAGAAGGAGTTCTACTGACAGAAACCTCCCTGACTTCAAAGCTTGTTATTTGAGTTCACAAGAGTGGTCAGAATGCACATGGTGGGAGCAGAGAACAAGGACAATTTTCTTGGGTTGCAGAAGTCACACTTCTATGACCTCCTAGTTCCTCAGCAATCACAAGTGGACCCACTCAGAAAGAAGTTCCTAGGACAAGAACACAAAACACAACAAAAGATAAAAACTGCAGTAACCAAGAATAATACACAATACACACACATACATACCATTGGTAAGCTCACTGAATTGAATATTTAATTATTTGTCTGAAAGGAACACAGGAAATTTAAAAGTGATCCTGACCTAATTATAATTAATAGTGACACAAGAAAGACAAATCCTCATTTCCACATTCTGAAAACTTCCAATATGGCAAGATTTACTTGATAAACACACACACAAAATCTGAATACCAGACTCTCAAACATTCTTGTGGAATTTTAAAATATGAAATGATAGATATAACATGATGGTATAGGGTTGCCAAGTTATATATCCCTGAAATACTTTACTTAAAAATGTCAAAAACTGACAGTTGTCATCCATTTATTTACTATGTTGTCAAACATCTATTGGGTGCCAGGCCCTGATATCACTTCTCTAGAGATTATAAGAAAAGAAGCAATTTTAAAGATATAATATATGTTTTTTTCTATAGAAAACCATGCAAATACTTATCTGCTTATTGGAATTCTGTGTAACTTTTCTATCTGTAACATCTGCTAGAAACTCTCACAAGACTAAGTTTGCTTGTGGAATTTCTGTCCCTCGTTCTTGGATGATATACTAAAAGGTCAATAATATTTCCTACCACATAAACACCTTTTTCTACAGAGATTCTTAAATCGGCATCTGAGTGAGGAGAAGCTTCCTGATCACAAAGCACATTGAAATAAAATTGTCATGATAAATTTTCCATGTGCTTGGAGAAGGACCATCTTAAAGGGCTTCCTTTCTGCATTCACCTTCACTGTTAGGGCAAAATGAGACTCCCTTTTCAGTTCTCCCCACCCATGGAAGAGAAAACAGTAGATCACACACTCTGCTATTTTACAAGTCAAAGATTTGAATGGATCATTTTTTCGATTTTTTTTATCCTTCCATATTTACATGTCCCGCCCTGATTTTACCAGAATAAAGCTCTGACCACTTGCTTGAGATGCCTATTGAAGTTTAATACACATCTCAGAGTTAACCAATTCAAACCTCAGTGATAATATTTGCCTCTTCCAACAACCTTCCTGTCTCATTCTATATCCCTTGGCATAAACTACACCATCATCCACCCAGCAGTCCAGGCGGAGCCTTAGAATCATCCCTAATTTCATAATTCCTTTGCATTCAGTCAACTGTAAAGTGATTTGTAATAATTACTTTTAAACATTTCAATATTTTTGCATTAAAATAAACCTATTTTTAATTCTGTTTTCCACAAACCCTTTGAATACCTCTTACATTGTAATACACAAAATCCAACTATTTTCAGTTATTAGTTGAGGTAGATGCTTCAAAATAAAAAAAAATAGGGGTGAGGTTAAATAGGATGACAAGGGAATAGGAATAGAGAGTGAATACTGTGAGAGTTATTCAAAGTTGAGATGGCAGATGATTGCCAATGAGGAAGGAAATTCACGAAGCAAGAAGTAAGGCATTGGGAGAATCTTTACCTAGGCTGAGCAGAGTGGAATTGTTAGTTTATTATGAACACTTGTGTCGTTTGAGAATAGGTTTAGGAACTATTCTTGTATAATGATGTGTTGTAATTACAGTAAGCATAAATAACAATGTTCTCTTTAAAGGATTCCCTATCTGTTGTTGTCACAGATAACTCCCACAGAAACACAGAAAATGAAGCTCATAGGAAGCATGGGA